AACAAGGAGAGGTTAGGTAGGAAACCTGGGAAAAGGCACATGAAGTTTTAATACTTGCCAATCCTCTTGAGTAAGAAGCGAGGAAGTCATCAATCCGTCTTCAGCTAGTAAAATGATTGTCTGTTCTACCCAAAACTACAACACATGAAGTGTATGTATAAGGCACTACTCAACCCTTTAAAATCATAAAAAAACTTATAGTTAAAGCAGCAGTAGAGGAATACTAACAGCAAACAGTGCTGGTATAATGACTCTAAACTCTTCACTGCATTACCTCTATGCATTGTACTTTTGCTTCCAGTGTGTGCTTTTCAATTATTTAGTTTTAACGTCACATTTTTGTAAATAGTTCTCAGATGATGATCTCTGACAGCCTCAAACACCCACACTAATATTTAATCCTGGAACAACACTAGTGTGAAAGTACATTCTAAGGACCAGGGAGGCCACCAGATACAGTTTAAAGCTCTGCGAAAAAGCTAGTAAGTGGACCTTTTTAGATGAGATGCTTTTGTGAAATAAACGATAAAGTTGTACAGTAACCTATCAAATGCTTATAAGCTCATAATTATGACAAACTGATTCTAGTACAAAAAGTTGATTTGGAGCTACAGATGAAGCCACTGCTGAAGGCCTTTTGTTTTTATTGCACTACACACTCAAGCCGATAAGATTGCAAATTTCTGCAGTACAAATGCCAGATAGATGAATGAAGTATATGTGAGAAGAGACACTTTAACAGTGACTCGTTTTAAATGTTATCATGAAGCAAAGAGAACCCTCTATTTTTTGTGTCCCTTACTGTTCTTGCCTTTTTCATGTCCTTTAAAGAGAGCACTGATTTATGGGCCTTCAATATTGCTCTTTGTGTCCAGCAACCATGTGTTTTTAAATGGGTTCTTTCAGCAGTGTGTTCGGTAGTTTGCTGTATTTATTTTTTATTTTCCAGTGTTTGTTTGTCTGTTTTAGTTGCTTTTTATTCAACACTTGAAGCCATAGCCAGGTGAGGATTTTAAATTCTCAGGATGAAATGTTGCTCTGTGTGTTTTTAAAAATCCTTCAAAATAAGATGAGAAATTAACTGATGCAGTCTTGTCACAGCCAAGTTAAAGGATATTTTCGGTATATTTAAACCTGGACCCTATTTTGGTGTCGAAATAACTAGTATGTACAAAATGTTTTGGAATCCTTGCAGTAGTAGGATCCAGTTCCGGTTCTGAAATCTCAAGACAGGCGAGTTGTTGCAGGAAACGACCGTGGAAACGAGGGAGAGGCGTTTGTTATATATGTAGAGAAGCTGCTAGCAAGACCGTTTCTTAACGTTAATCCAACTAAAAAAGAGCCTCAGCTCTGATTCACGTTTGCACGGTCATCTTCCTGCAACAACACTCTCGTGAGATTTCAGACCAAGAACTGTCCTTGAGCGAGACACAAGGGGTGTGACCGGGTGTTACCAGGGTATTACGTTTAAGGCACCAGGTATAACCGCCTCAGCCTGTCGGATGAAAAAAAGAACCACTTTTTGTGGATGTAATTCTTACGGGCACAATTGCCCCGAAGATGCTGAAGCTTCTGCACGGATTCGTAATGTTTTTGAACCCACTAGTCATTTCGACACCAAAATATGTGAAAATAGGGCCCAGGTTAAAAAAAAAAATACAGAAATTATCCTTTAATGATTATGGAGTTGCCGTCCACCTCTAAATGTTTCTGAATGTTTTGGTGTCATGCCCTTTTGAATGGAAAGTGCCAGAGTTATTGATTATGGACACCTGTGGAGCTCTAAAAAATTCTATTTAATTAAAAAAAGTTCTGGATGATTTTATTATATTTGTTATAATTGGCTTTTTAATGTCTTAACACTTTCTGAGACTCCCAACTGTCCATAGATCATGTCTTTACTCTGTTGCTTCAGTGGTTGTCAGTGTGTATGTGGGTCTCAGGGAAATCCCAGTGCTCTTAAGGTATCAAGGCAGAGTAGCGTGACCTATGTTTGCCTTAAATGCTCGGCAAAGCTCAGAGCACCGTCAGACTGTGAATACTTGACTCTGATATATGCAAGGCTTAAGTCCATCTAGGTTTAAGATTGTTTATAAGGTAAAGCTGGTGTTCAGCATACACTATTTTGAAGAGTTTGTGTGAAACCTCCCGGTACCCAACATAAACAGCAGTAGTGGGATCAACTGATGTTAAACTCATATGTAGACAGTTCAAGTTCAACTTAAAGGGGTTTTTGGCACAAACTGGTGCTGGTTTTAAACATCTAGATGCTTTGGGGTTTTTGTTAAGTTGACTAGATTTAAATGGACCTGTCTGAAGGATGCAACTATGTATGTGAGGTCTGCTATGAAATGTTATTTGGAAAGAATAATCATGACTTGAATTTTGTGAAGAAATGAAGGTCTCTTATCTGTAATATACTTTGATTCGCTGAATAAAATTATTGCAAGTACTGTATTTTTAAGAAAATCCATTTTACTTTCACTGCAATCATGTGTCTAGATACCTCCATCTAAATGCTGCTTTCTAAGATATAAAGTATTATATTCCTTTTGGAAATAAAAAAGCACATTTATAGTCTTTGTGTATATTATTTGTCATGTTACATCCTCACTATTTTCTTCAAACAGATGAAATATCCCAGATAACTAAATCAGCATTATTTACTGTTAACACTGGTTTATTTTACAGGCCTCTAGCCAGTCACTATATGGGACAGACCTGGACCCTGAAGGACCCCCTATGTTGACCCCAGAGGTTCCCTCTGACCTCTTCTCCCACTCTGGAGAGTGTGCAGCACCATCCTACAGCAACATGGAGGAGGTGGACTAGTCATGGCGAGAACTACGGGAAATGCAGATCAGACCTGGTGATCCAGGGACGTCCCAAGTGGAAGCTCATCCTCAGCTAAAGACACATCAGTGCCCTTTAATTACACAGGCATCCCATCTCTGAATCCCAAAACAACGCTGCAATGCTAGAAGATCTGGAGGTGGTCTTTGAGGATTTTTGAGGAAGTGACTGCACTCGCTTGTGAAAGACCTTCAGATGCACATATAGATGTGTACTCAGTACTAACTAGACACTCACACCATTGATATACTCACATTAACATACTTACCCATTGATCAAGACTTAACAAGCTGTATATGTAGTTATATTCATCCAATGCATAAAGTCTCAAACACACACACACAGAACACACACTCACTTAACAGTTCAGTGGAACGCCTGCCAGGCTTCCACGCACCAACGCACCTTGTGGTCTGGTTTCAAGCTAAAAACCTGACTGCTATCCTTGACCAGACCGCTTAATCCCTGGCTAAAGCTACGGTATATTAGGGTACATTTTGGGAGTTTGAGTGAAGATTGTTGTAATGTGTGTAAATCTTTTCTCTTTGTTTTGTTTTCTGAGGCGTTGCCTGGTTTGATTTGTTTGTGGCAGACTATTCTGTAACTCGGATTGGAACTGGAGCAACAGATGTAAAGGAAAGTGAGAAAGGTGCTGACCTACTTTTTTATTTTAACACGGGCACACGCCTTTTCAGTTGTCTGTCGCTTTATAAACATTTGGCTTCTGTTGCTGTAGCGTATTGTTGTTATTTTTCATTTTTTGTACTGGTTAGATATTCAATCCTGTGGATGCAATTGTCAAAGGCTTCAGTATAAACTGAAATGTGCATGATTGCATGTTCACCTCCCCTCCCCCGTGAAACTTTGCAACAATTAATTCAGTTTTGCGAGAGTTGTCCAGTCTCACCTCTCCCCTCCTTTGTAATGGACTGCGTATATAAAGTGGGATCATTAAGAATACTGCTGTGGATACATATAAACGGTTAACATAAATAAAAACAATTTTGGAAACTACTGACAGTGTTTTCTCACAGTCGTAGTAGACATGATGAACTAATCTTGATCAAACCTCACAGATCTTTTCCCCATACCCCCAGGGGCCCTGAAGGTACCAGAATCTCTGTTTGGCAATTTGGTCATGGAAACTAAATTTGCGTTTGATCAAAATAGTCACACACTAACTGGGCAGGTGGTCCTCCAACATAGTACAATAGAGTACAATTAAACTGAGAATTGATTTAAGTAATTTATCAAGATGAAATGCCGAACATTCTCTGGTTCCAGCTGTGAGGATGTATCACTTGTCTCTGTTTTATATAATTTGGCTTTTGGAAAATAAGCAACATATCATTCAAAATCAGAAAGAATCATTAGTTGCAGCCCAGTGTGTGCTGTTGCTCATAGATAGGTATAAGCAGCAGCATATACACACAAAGCGGGGCAACAGGGTGGTCAGTAGGGGCCCACTACTTGTTTTTACCCCAGAGCCCCTTAGCAGGGTGATCTGGCCCTCCCTCAGGACTGTGTGGGCAGGTACGAACACTTTCTAACTTACACTTTCACCTTTTTTTAACCTTTACAAAACAATCATAAATCAATCGTTTAAAAACAAATACAGCAACATATATAAATGGATAAGAACAAAAAGTGGAAATTGGCCTTTACAGTAGACAATTTAACATGTCACATTAGGAAAAGCACATCTTACGTGTTCTAACGCATTTACCAAAACAGAGAATTTCAGCACAAGAGAGTTACGGCCCTTCTATCGTCATTAAAAACATGTTTCTAAAGTGTTTGCTGTTTTAAACGGAATATCTTTTTTTCTGTATAATATTTGTGAAGAAAAATTGACTTATGCCAACAGTACCAACTTGCCAATTTAAAGGTTGTTTATCCACTAACACTTTCATCTTTCTTATTAGTCCACGGAGCTTTGTGATTTTATTCAACTGAGGTCTAATTAGCCAGAATGACTCAAAACACCTGTGGGGATATGGCAAAGGAGTAGTGGGTGTTTTAAAATCCCGCTGGTATTTATCTTATACTACTTAAATTACTGTACGTCTCTAAATGTTTTACAGCACCGGCAGATGGCGCTCTTTCCTCTGTTAGGTAAAGTACAAAGATTGACCCGATGAGGAAGAAGAAGAAGACGGCATGGAGAACGAGGAAGTGCCGGCAAATCATGTGTGAGACAGAGGGGCCGGTTAGGTAGCAAGTTTTAGTTGACATTTTTTCCAAACGATACCTGTCCTCAGTTGTATCACACTCATGGCGGAGCGCGGCAGGAACAGCGGCCACCAAGCTGAAGCACATGACGGGACAAACGACAGAAATGTCCCTGAGCCTGGGTTTGGGACAGGTGACCTTACTGTGACTGTCCCTCGGGGGCTCCGGTCCTCAAATCATAACCAGAGGAAAAAGTTAGTCCTGCATATCGACCTCAACAACACCATACTGGTGTCGGACGCCGTGACTGGCCAGGGGACTGTAGCTGCTCTGGACTATTTTCTCACAACTGTCACCTGGGGAAAGATGAGCAAACAAGGTAAACTGGAAATTGTTCGTACTTTAACGTATCACACAAGAATGCTGGGAATGTGTGTGTGCTCAGTCAGCGTATGTATTGTTCCTGAGGTGTCAAAAGAACACGCCAGGTCCATGTTAAATATACTATATAAAAGACCCCCTCCTCCTTTACTTTACTTAGAGCTAGTCAACCAATCCACAAAAAAACCTGCGATGTTACAGAAATGAAATGCTTCATATGATTTGCACATATCCAGAAAAGCAGGTCATCAATAGTATAACAAGCTCAAATATTTTATGATGTGCTTATTGTGCTATTAACATGGAAGTGGGCATTATAACATAAATTTTAACATACGTTTTTTAAGTAATGTTTGGCAGAATATGGTCTAGAGCCATTCACTTGATCTGTTTTCCTCCAGCATCCCCATGTAATTAATTCCTATTTCACTGAAGCGGTAATACTTACTTAAGGTTGTCCAAAAAGTTGGCCTGCGTAAACTTGTTTTAAAGTCATTAGACAAATCCAGAGAGCAAGAGATCCACCTTGAGCCATTTCTCAGCCCTCATTCCGTTGTTAAGTGTCTCAATTTAAGATTTTTATTTATTTATAGGATAGTGGAAAGGGGGAAAGAGATGGGTGGCGACACACAGCGAAGGGCCATAGGTTGGATTCAAACCGGGGCCTCTGCATTAAGGACTTGTGCATGGGGCGCACACTTGACCAACTGAGCTAATCCAGCGGTGCCCCAAGTGTCTAGATTCACAACCATTCACCAAAACCTTGTTCTCCTCACCTCTGTGCAGGAAAGTGGGAATGGCTGAGTGATTCTCCCTCCCTGCTCCCACCGTGCAGTGATGCTGTCAGTTATTACTCTCAGTTTGGACGGATACCAGGTTTCACATCAGCTGCCGGGCGACGTTTCCGCGGAGTTCTGGATGAGCATCTGGACCTGCTTCGCTGGCCCGAGGGCATCCAGGCAAGCATCATGAGAAAATAGATGAGAAGGCCAGGTGGAACGTGTCTGTGCAAAGTTAGACTGCTGTGGCCCAGAGAGAAATCATTCCCCTCTGATCACTACTACTTTTTAGATTCAGATTTTTTTATTGACTGATCGTAGCCTTTATTTCTTCCAGTGACCTTGATGATTGTGGTGTTGCTAACTCGTCATTTTGTTTGTAATTTTGGTACTTTTACAATTTAAACTCCTATTGCAATTCTACATAAAGCCCACACACTGACATACCTAAGAGCTCACTTTGCCAGTTCTGCATGAACTGATCTTTCATCCTCTGTTCAACACTCATGTGTTATCTGCTTAACTTACTTGAGACACACATACACCAGTAGCATACAGGTTAAGCACATAGCTATGCCTTATGCAAAGGAGTTAAGATTCCTGACTTTCTAGCAGCCTCCCCCAGAAGCCAATTCAGTTCTGTCATGCAGCTCAAACCTTATGTATTACGTGTTCAGACCATGCTTGTAAATCAGTTTTTCATCGGCAAAGTGGCTCTGCCAATAGATGGTAAAGTTTCTGTATTAAAATAAATAAGATTTGCTGAACACATTTTTACTGCAGCCTATACAGCATGATTAATCCCTGCCGCAGTGATGTGTTACTGAGTGCTCGCTGAATATGTCCCCTGCAGAGGGACAGAGAGCTGGCTGTAAAAGGAGAGGATGGACGACTGTACCACTGGATCCTCCCCTCCTTCTTCCAGCTGCTCAAAGACCTGGTGCAGGAAGGAAGGGAGTTTGCCATCCTTTTTCGTACGTTTGGAACCGACCTACCTCGTGTGCTGAAGGCTGTATCCAGAGCCCTGAATGAAGGGACTCATCCACTGTTCCCGGATCTGCCTGATCTCAAGGTGAAGTAGAATCACAGTTATTCATTATTAAGCCGTGAGTTAAAGTGAGACATTGCCACCACCGCTTCCACTGCACCACTGTGGTCTGCAGTGTTTATTCTTTCAGGGTTAAAGGGGTCAATTAACCTAAACTACAAGCAGACATTTTATCCGTAGTGGTATCAAGGTTTATAGCTCAACATCTCACAGACACACTAAGTGGGCTTTACAGCATCAATTCCCAATGCATAGTTAAAGATCCCCTGTTTAGATGATAGTTTGCACAACTCTGCTACTTGGAAACAGTTAAAATAAAGTGAATACCCTAGGTATTTACCCCATTGATGTGATATGTGCCATTAGCTCTTACTAGTATTTATTGCTGCTTTTACTAGTATGTATTGTCAGTTGCAGATCTCGTGCTTTGTTGATGCTTGTATGTTGTTCCTCAAATGTAAGCCGCTTTTGGATAAAAGCGTCTGCCAAATGAGTGAATGTAAATGCATCTTATCTATCTATCTATCTGATAAGTGTGTGTGTATGTGTGTGTCATGTTCCTTAGGGTTGGTCGACCATGTTGATGTTCTCTTGAAGAGCATGACCTTCTGTGCCCTTTAAAATAGACCCTCCCACCGACACACTGGCTCACACACACACAGTCATAAACGTATGCGTCTCCATGACTCCCCTCCCAGAGGGTTTTGTACCTGTGAGCTTGCTGAAGTGGAACACATTGATTTTGAGTGAATAGTGGAGAGTGGTGAGGGGGGGAGGCAGGGGGGGAAGAGAAGTCAGAAAGTGAACCTGTCGGGCACAGTGAGCTGTCTGGAGGAGAGCACATTGGAAATCTTATTCAAACAGTCTCCTGTCAGATGCTATTAATCTATGCCTTCAGACAGAAAGAGCGGGGGGGGGGGGGGGGATCAATCACAAGACATTATGTGATTGTTCAGTTTCTCTTTTGTTTTCCTGCCTCAGTGAGATTTTGGCCGCAGTAGCTTCAGTATCCTTCTTGTCATGTCTTGGAGGTGAGTGCAGTGGGAAAACGTGCCTACTTAAAGCCTTACACTAAATCTTGGGGTTAGTGGTTAATTTCCAAGAGGTCAGAAGGTCATGCCCAAGACTCCATGCTCGTGTCCTTTTATCCGTGTACATTGGGGTTAGTGAGCATGCACTACAGTCGCTTCACAGTAAAAGCACACAAGCACTGCCAATAATAACTGCACCACTTAAAATACACTTTTTCCATTTTAGAGTTTTGTGCAGCATGATGGTTGAAGCTTTCTAACCTACCGGAAAGAACTATTAAAATTAAATCACCATAAAAGAGAACATTTAATTCCTCAGTATTTGATTGAATGAGAAAACAGACCCAGTGCTGGATGGATGTGGCCCACGAGAAGAAGCCTCTTGTTAATTTTTCTCATCTGCTACAGTCAGAACCATGGTAGGAAGCTATGTACATGATTTTATTCATAAAAGGTGATATTGTGTGAATGGCTGCCTGTTCTTTAGCAACATGGTGTATGCTAAAGTATGGATGTTATAAGGCAAGTTTTTACCAACTGGACAATTCCCCAAACATACTGTGTATACCTTCAAGGACAAAACAAGACTAAAAGCTAGCTGCTGTGTGAGCTTTGAGCTAAATGCTAATATCTGCATGCTAACATGCTCACAATGACAATGTAAACATGTGAATGTTTACCAGGTGTAGCATGTACCTCGTTCACCATCTTAGTTTAACGTGTTAGCATGCTTGCTTACATTCATTAATTAGAATTAAACACAGCAGTGGCTGATGGGAATGCTATTAATTTGCAGGTGTTGGACAAATATAAATGTTGTCCTGACCATGGTGTTGGTCGTTACTGTGGGTGACATAAATGAATGTATCAAATTTAATGGCAATCCATACAATAGTTGAGATATTTCAGTCTGGACCAAAGTGGTGGACCGTCCGACTGGCATTGCCATCCCTAGAGCCACACCACTTGTACAACTAAAAAAACGTTTCATCTTAATTTTAAAATATTTGATTTAATTGCTGAACAGCTGATACCGCTTGTTCTAAAATTATAGTCTCTTATTAAAGTTAAAATGGCGTGCCAGAGAGCTTTTTAAAATTTTTTTTTACTTGAAATAATCATTTATTAGATTGTTTAATGGCCATTATCTATCAAGTAGCCACACTATGTAGTGGAAAGCTACAGATTAGTAGAGTTGTCTTTTTATGTAGTTGGCACAGAATTATTTTATGTCTGAGAAAGTTTTAATGCTGATTTTGCTATTAATTTAAGTCAAGTCTGCCAGAGGCCATGTTTTAATAGCAAAATAATTTCACAGAAGGTTCTTTTGGTTTCATGCTTACCACAGAGTTCCTTTTTTGTTTCTCTCTGACTATGACTCTTGTCGTTCTCGGTTCAGTTAAGTGTGAATATGACTCCAGGCAAGATCCGCTGCAGCAAGAGGGGAGTCGTGCTTAGCCGAGCCGAGGAACGCGTGTCGACATGTGATGGAGAAAGAGGACTGTACCAGTACTTCAGCTCAGTCCAGGGCCTGGGGGGCTTTCAGGACCACTTTGACTGGTACACATAACACTCTGTAAGCCACCATTAATGTGGGCTTCGTTGCCTCTATCCCTTCTTTCATTCCTTTCCAAATATTTCTGTACCCGTTTCTTGTCTAGGTGGGCTACAAATACCTTCTCCATCCGTGGGGGAAAGCCGCTGTGGGTCGACCCCTTTGACCAAAATGTTCAGCACATCTTCATAGATGACAACATAAGACAGAACGACGAGGATACCATAGTTCATCCCAAGGTACTGTCACTTGTTTTAAAGGCTGAAAATACATCAACCACTATTGACATCCATATGTATTGCTTTAAGAGGCTTATATTTCTAACTTATATTTCCCCAGTTTCCTTTCCACTTTAGAGAGTATTCAGCTTTTTAATTAGAACCAAATTCTGAGATATGGTGTTTTAAGAGATAAGTGTGTTAACAGGCTGTGGTGTCATTTTCTCACATGTTCTGAGAACAAAATCTCAGCGCATAGTTACATAACGACTGAGTCATTGGTATTAACCTGCAGCTCTGAGTAACCTTCATACAGATTATATGGATACGTTTTGTTAGACTATATAGAGTGGATATGGTGCTTCTGTCACCTGCAGTTGTCATCTACAGCTGTTTTTATAGAAATCACATCTCATTGTAGAGGGAACTAGGCAGCGAGAGCACACTGACCTCCATTCACAAAGACTTTTGGCCGGAGATTTTAGTAGCTAAGATGACATCTCAAATAGCCATAGGTCAGGCCATGAGCGCTTGAGAAACAAATAATTTTACAATTTTAGCATCTCACTAGCTTATAGTACAATGAGCTAAAATTACAACTTCTGATCTCCCACCCTCTCTCTTTTGCTCTATTAATTATGCAGTGAGCTTCGTCTTTGGGAAACCTTCTTTACTGTAACTTTTTCATAATGCTGTTTTGATATTTTCTGGTGTTCTTTAGTGAACTCTGCAGCAATCAGCTGCAGGAGCAAAAGGTTTTAATATCATTTGAAGTTTGTTTTCCACTTGAACAAAGCCTAGCTCTTTGAGTTGTATTTGTCTTCTCTGTCTCTATTTTAGCGTAAGTTTCTATATTCTGTTGTTTTTGACAACACTTTGGAATCCCTGCCGTTAGCCCCTTGTATTAGCTGTCCAGTGAGTCTCCCAACAGGCATCCGGTGTAATGAATGATCCAGTTTTGCTTAAATGTCAGCTATTGTGTGTATATTTGTCCCTGACCAGTGAGTGGTTTTGCTAGGGCTGGGCAATATGGCCAAATAGGTTATCGCAATAAAACCTTTCATACAATTTTGATATTGATATTTTTCACAATAAATGTCATTATTTCTTTCAAGTTAAAGGCTGATTTTTGCTCTTAAGTGAAAATTGAACAAACCAGATGGTTAAACAATTTATGTTCTGAACATGACAAACACTTGCAAAACAGTCGATCACTTAATAAAGCTGAGGTAGAACATTCAAACTAAATATGATAAAGTCTTTTTTCAACAAATATACATGAGTAAAATTAAGTAAAATCTTTTTTCAGTCCCTTTTCCTCAACAAAATAAATATCTTTAATAGAAACATTATGTGCTTATTTGTTGGTGATTTAAATGAATTAAATTGAACATTTGTTATATTGTTGAGGAAAATTATATTGCGATAATTATCATTATTGTTTTAGAGCCCTCCCCCCCAATGACTCTGGTTTCTCCATTTTCTGTGTGTGTGTTTCTCAGGTTTTCTTGGACCCAGGTGGGGCCGAGACTCGTACAGCCTGCACTTCTGAGCTCTATGATATCACACTGGTCCAGACTGACCTCCTCCGGGCCATTTCTGACCCGAGCCACTTCACTCAGCGCGTCCACATCTGCCTGGAAAACTATGAAAGGAATCTCCAGCAGGGGACAGGTTAGAACACAGTTCAAACTAGGCCCACCCTCCATGTTTGTCTGTGTGACAACATCCAGTTTAGGGTTCTGTTTACCCAGACACCACAATCCCAGCACAGACGGAGCATGCAGACGCAGTAGGTACGGTTATTAAACACAAAGGCTGATGACTTATTTAAGGACTGGAGTTCATCAAAACCATAAATGGAATTTGTTTACATATGGAGGACATGAATAAATACGCAGATGAGGAAGGATCACAATTATGTGGTAAAAGAAATCTTTAGAAGGACAAACTAAATGCACATAAGGGAGGTTTAGAAGCAGCTTGATAAGTTGGATTTTAATACCATGCATATTTTACTTTATCTACTCCAGGACAACAGTAAAAGGATGTGAGCTTATACAAAGAGCATATAACAAATAGATTGTACTGTCTGCTGGCCTAAGGTGAACCGCCACAAAGAGTTTTTGACTTAATTAGCCATTAAAGTGGCCAGGCCAGCCTCTTTGATTGCAGCAAAGGCTCTGTGACTAATCACGCCACGGGATAATTGCCCTAACTCTCTGAAATCTGTTTCAGACAGCATAATTGGGGGCACATATGGTGAAACACTATTCAAGTGTTGCATTAGGCTAGCCGTCTAGTGAGAAGAATACACCGGGGTTTTGTTTTATCTCTTGTTTTTCATCCTCAGGGTGTGACACTTTTATGTAGCTTCTCCCTTAGATGTTAAGACATGTATTTTAACTTCTGTTGTTTTCCATCAAATGCATTGTGTACATCCACTCAGAACTTAAAGTTAATACTTCCAGATGTCTGATTACTGACTATGACTGTGTAACTTAAGGGTGATACCTGTCTAATGTGAGTACAGAGGGTATGCGCATGACGTCACAGAACGCAGTTACGCTCGCTGAGTGGCAGAAAGACGAGCAGCAGTGTTGGCCTGAATCAGCTAAAACATAAACCACACATCACAAATGGGAAAGAGCTGGACCACTGGTTCTTTGGTAAACAGTTGCCTTTTAATTTGAGCAAATAATGACTTGTTTTACAATCTGTTTGCTGAACGCAGCCATGGTAACGGATGTTTTTCCACTCAGTCCAGCGTGTTCCGGAAGGGGAAGTGACATCAACGCATACCCTCTATATTGCTTGTAAATGTCACAAAACGACCTAATTAGATTCATAACGACACATATCATTTCCTGATCTGATCAGGTAAGAGTAATCCACATCCTTGCTCCGTCAGAGCACTTTGATTATACGAAGTAATATCTTCTGAAAGCACTGAGACGTATCATTAAGTTGAACATGGATTTGGGATGTGTTGGCACTGAATTATTTACTGTGCTTTTTATTATTTGAAAGCGCCCTTGTGTGAAACATTTAATTTGTGTGGATGTTTTGGTAATTTGTGCTTTGAAGGTTTTAGAAAATATTTATTGTTAAGCTTCCAGGGAGATTTTTCATTGCTGTATTTTCCTCAGGTCAGATTTAGAGAGACCACTGAAGGCCAACAGTATTAATAATCTATTGACAAATACTGAAATGTAGGTTTCTGAGACCCACTGAGAACAGTTGAGTGATAATGCCATTCTTATACTTTTTTGAGTATATGGTGAGCATGGATTTCCTTAACAAGAGAACACGCAAGTGGATATATTGATAAGGAAAATACAAAGACAATAGTGGGTTGGAAGGCTTTGTTGGTGATGGTTACATTAAATTATTATACACTTTTGCGTTGGCACAGTTTTCATAACGGAGTTTCATTGTGCAAACACAAAATGCTATACTCACACAATGAAAACATCCACATTAAATGAGGTAATAGATCATGCATAGGTTAATCAGAGCACCGCAGCATTGATACGTTTATCAGGGAATTTTAATTACTGTTGCATTTGAGAGTAAATTAATAATTAGGATATACTGCTGTCAAACAGCTCATATCAAAACAGTCTCAAGTGATTGTTTCCCTAAGACTATACAAGTGGCAAGAAAATAGTTGATGTAGGGCAAGAATTACCTAAATTTTATTTATTAAATATGTTTTATTACTGTAAATATAGACAACAATAAATTCTACATTCATACAAGTCAAAATGACTACTTTACTGCATCAGTTTACTTTTCCTGCTCTGTGTCAACCACAAAGTTTGTTGCATATTGCTCAAGACACCAAGCGCATGGCAGTTACTTGTTATACGTTTGATTATCTAGAATACAGTAAACTACAGTATTATGAAAAGCAGGCAGAAATGCCTGCAAGCACATGTTGCATTGATTCAAAATAAAAAACATAATAGGACAAATTTCTTGCATTAGGAGTTTTGCACACTGAAACTCTCCCATGAAAACTTAAGCCTAAGCAATTGTTAAGTACTGTCATATTGTGCATTGAAGTCTCATCACATGGTTAATGATGCATTTGAATGCTCATCACATTAAAACTTGTACATTTTATTTATTTTTGTGAAATATTTCCATTTGCTGTTAAATAAATCTGTAAGGTTTTTATTAAACTATTGTGTTTTGCATAATGACAGCTTACTGTACACACACAACATAAGATGATTCATGTATTAGAGTTCATTTGGTTTGGCCATCGCTGCTCAGTATAAATCTTTGTTGATCAATATCTGTACTTGTTTGTGGTGTAACTTCTGTGTGTATGTGACCAGGTCAGGTCCATTGGGGATTAATTAAAGAAAATACAAAGGGTGGTAAGAACATTAATTTGCTTTGGTAAGTTGTAACTGACATTTAAAATGTCTTTAATACTTCTCGTCCTGCCATTTCAAAGCAAACATTTGTATCCTCTACACAACCACATTTATCAGCACCCCTGCAGCTACCTGGAGGTACTTCACGTGGAGATGAGTGGAAGCAGAAGACCAAAATGATAAGGGAAATGCTTGTGAGATAAAATGTTTAGTCTCTCTGTAGTTTGGCATGAGATTATAAATGCAAAGCTGGGCTTGACAGAAATGTTTGAAGTGAGATTTTTAACAGGTAATTCATCTTCTAAAACATTTGTGTAATTAACCGCTTCATTATGGCCGAGGTCACACACATTAACGTGTGACAAGTCATGTCTGGAGTTCGTCCCAGGCTGATTGTGATGGATGATGCTGGCAATTGTCTGAACATTTGATGAGTTACTTACAAAGCAAATGGTACAACAGTGTCAGCCAAGATGACTACAGTGGGAATTAGAATATACAGTAGGGAGAACAAGTATTTGATACACTGCTGATTTTGCAGGTTTTCCTACTTACAAAGCATGTAGAGGTCTGTAATTTTTATCATAGGTACACTTCAACTGTGAGAGACGGAATCTAAAACAAAAATCCAGAAAATCACATTGTATGATTTTTAAATATAGCACTTTTTATCCAAAGCGCTTTACATTTTAGGTAACCCAGTTGTCACTCATTCTCTCAGGCTATTTGCTGAATGACCCAAGAAAGGAATATATAATTTACTTAGAATATGTGTTTTTATATTTAGACTACTTGCAAAAGAAATTTAATTTTCTCACTTTTTTAAAATAGTTGCATGTGAAAAGCTTTGTTAAACAAAATGATGAACAATTTCCTCATTCTCTAAAACACCCACGGAGTTGACGTTTTCAAAAGATCCATTTATGAAAGGAAGCACTGCTCAAAAGAGGAAGGGAACATTTAATCATAACAGTATAACATCAATCTCAATTAAACTTCAGGGATTTCAATCTGTCCAGTTAGAAATCATAAGCGATTATGAATCAGTGTCACTTGTTTTGGGGTTATTGAAAGTGATAACAGGTGCACTGGAGAGGCATCAGCAAGACGACCCCAAAAAGGAATGGTTTTGCAGGTGGTGGTCTCGGACAGTTGCTCTCACCTTATCCTTCCTGACTGATTGTTCTCTAGTTTTGCATTTTGCTAATGTTGTCACTACTGGTAGCATGAGGTGGTACCTGCAGCCCATAGTCCAGCTCCTACAGGATGACCCATCCATATGTGCCCTCAGAGCCATTGTCAGACCTTACGCTGGTGCAGGCAGCCCAGGGTTCGCAGCCTCATGTGGTCAGAGTGTGTAGGCAGTTACTGGATGACAGAGGCATTGATGCCATTGACTGGCCTTTATGTTCCCCAGACCTGAATCCAAAGGAGAACCTATGTAGCGCCACAGACTGTCTGTTGTTATGTCATTTTGTTCTCAATGAATTATACAATGTACAGTAAAGATTTTGAACGTTGAAGTGTTTCTTTGAGATCTGATGTATGATTAAAGTGTTCCCTTAATTTTTCTGAGCAGTATACATGCAACTGACCTGCTGTGGTAGTGACACTAACCATGTAGCAGCAGTTTTGAATATTTCTTTCTTTCTTAATATGTAGGTACTAAAGAGAATAAAGACAATTAAAGGTCTTACACTACAAAGTTAGAGCCTAACCTGCGTTGCATCTGTTACAATCCAAAGTGGAACATGCAAAGAGTGGATGTTCAGCAGACCTTTTTCCACAGCAGACATGTTGAATCTTCATAGCAGGAAAAGCGCAGGTGGAATTTATGACATTAAAGATGGCTCAGTTCCGATAAGTCTCCAAATAACCTAGTCCCGCTGGCACAATACCAGAACCTCACCTCAAAACATTTGCCTGTGTTCTTTCTGCTAGGGATTGTGTAATGTCTGCTGTGAATAAGGAGTATTAAATCTGACTCGGCTGAGCTAACTGTCCGAAACCACACGCCTCTCAAACTCCAATGAGCTACTTCAGTCAAGAAACGATGTCCCTCTTGACACCAACTCAAAAGCTCTCTGGAAACTTGGCTGTGTACTCTGCAATATTTGAAACATAGCTGGCAGGAAGCTCACAGTCAGATCCATTTGTCTCCTTTCAGCCATAGCCTTATTCAGTTTAAGGTGTTAAATATTGCACTCGTCCAAAGTGTTGTGGGTGTTGCCTGCATAACAAATGCATGTTCTTGAGGTGTCCTAGTTTTGTCGAGTATTGAAGAAGTATGTTTCTAACGATAACAAAGGCATTTAATAGAAGTGTTCAATTAGACCCTTTAACACCAGTTTTAGTGTTATAGATCATAATAACGAAAATTAGTTCAGAGTCCAACTTTATAAAATTTGACAGGAAGACTGATTCTGGTTAAAGTAGTTTGAAATGGGCAACAGCCCCTACCAATACAAATTTGTTATGAGAAGTATTGATGCACCTAAAATGAGAGAAAATAGGATTTTCATTAGAGGACCAAGAGGGTAAATTCTATAAAATATGTTTAGCCTACCTTTTATTGATATAGATTACTAATCAGAACAGGAACTGAAATAGGCTTTCTTACTATCAACTTCACTTGCAGACCCTCTACAGGCAGACCAGCCTGTTTACTACCAGGAGTTATGGAAATCACTTTTTAAACAAATTATGTATTTGCTTATTTTTATTTTAGTCATTTGTTTTCTCTTTCTCTGTTGATTGGCTTATGGGTTTTATATTGTGCAATTGTGGGCTACAGTTTCACACAGGCTTAGTACATATGCCATTATAATTATATTTTTTGTATAGTCTCACACATAAAGCTGTGTTTTCTGCGTTCTGCTTGTTTAAAACACAGTACAATTGTTATTAAAGGAGATTTTAAAGAAATTGCGGGTCAAATGTGTTATATAGTAGGCTATAGTACCATTTAAACGTTTTTGTGTGGTTTTAAGTAGGGATCAAGAGTTCCCTCAGTCCACATGAGGGCAGCAGTGCAGCTTTTCGGAGTTGCACCATCTTCAGCGGCAGCATCCTACCCTTCAGGTGAGTCTGGAGTAACCTGATACTGGTGGTGGAGAGCCTGAACCCAGTGGCTTCACTGCGTCTCAAAACAGCACGACACAGAAACACTAGAATGTTAAGTTAAAGGTGTGATGAGTCGGGTGCTATCACTTCAGGATGGTGGAGGGATAGCTGGCACAGTGAACGCACGAGTTGGCGGTGGTTCGGCATTGCGTAAATGCGCACTGGTGAGTGAGGGGAGGAGAGGGACGCGAAGAGGAGGCAGGAGGGGGACAAATGTTGAGTCAGTGGAAGGTGGACGATGGTAACACTTGGTTTCGCTGGATTGTGCCACTAAGCAGGTACACAACAGGAGCGATATTTCCACCGCTGTCCTCTGCTGCTAACATAACGTGTGCAAACATTTACGCCGAGCTGCTCCGGCGACCTGCGACGCGCCGCTGACTGCGCCTGCCTTCCACCCCCCGGACAAAAAGGTAAGGACTGTTGTCACCAAACTTTGCACCATTCTGCGTTTCACTCATATATTGCCATGACGCACAGGCGCTCCTGAGGACTTTTTGAAGCTGGTTATCATGCCTTGGTGCTTGCTGGGAAGACTCCAGATTTGGAGGGTTTATGCAGCATCGTACTCTGTTTGTCGAGATGCTGTCGTTGTTGGGCGCCGGCGCGGATCTGCTAATGGGCATCGAATCCGTATGAACAGGTGTGGACACTCATAATATCTAAGCTACCTAAGTTTAATGATGCAGTTAGCGATAAAATAATGGACCACAATTCAAGTACAATATCGCCAGAAATGTGTTTGGACGCCGTATCCAAAATAATCCCATCACAGGTTAATATTGCTGTTCATGTAGAGGATTTTGATGGCACGACAATCCTAAGTGGTTATGTAGTCGACATTAGGGGCTTTTGCAAGTTTGGATGGATTATTATATCAGCTTCCCGAACTTTGCCACATGATTTGGTAAAGTGATGCCCCTTTGTTTTTTCACTGAAGTTGGACCAAAGCTTTTTATGTGTGCTGCGTAATTATTAGTGCACATTCAGGGATTAAGACAAGAGGTTGCAGGGCAAATCCATCCAGCTGTTTAGTGAGATGCGCCTTTTCCATGCAAGCCGGTGCCATCTGCTGCACTGCCCATCATCTGGTTGCGGCGGTCACACTCTGGCTGATAGGGTCTATATTTATTCTGGTTTTAGAGCAACCTCAACTTTGTGCTTTCTTTAAACTAAGTTGAGTGTGTGCCTTCAGGTCGAGAGAGTCCTTCCTCCTCTGCTCCCTGGTCAGCTGAAGAGGTTGTTTGTTGCTTCAACAGAGTTCATCACTTGCCCCTCCTCCCTCTGTCTCCTTCCCTCTGTATTGGTGCTACTTTTCCCATCTGACCTGCAATGATCGCTCCTAACTTGGTGTGAGTTAATTTGCATAATGAGGATTACAGCTGACATGCAGCGTCTGGGCCTGTCTTGCTGGATCCAGCGGAGAAGCGTAGTGCTGTGGCAGCTCCCATTGTGCCAGCAAAATGCCACCCTCAATCAGGACTCACCCAGAAGGCTGCTCTACCTTTTTGAAATCGTCAGTGCAGAGGGAGAGAGGGACAACGACAAATGGACTGTCTCAGTACGAAATTATTCATGTATGAAATTAGCTATTGATGTTCTAGTTGGCACAATGGATTGTTATATATATATAAATGGTTCAATTAAAATGAATGACAGTTTTTTTCCCCCCAAATGGTGAAAGCATTGCAAATTGATTTTCCTTATCCATTAAGGCTTTTAATTAGCATCAGTTCTGTCTGGGGGAGGAAATACATTTCCTTCTTGTTAGTCTTTGTTGATTTTTTAAAAATGTTTTATTCAACTTTGAGCCGCCCACTTTACAGCAAAATCTATTCTAAATTTCAAACCACAGAGCCCACAAGAGGAAGCACAGTCCTGATGCTAGTCAGTCTCCACATGACAAAAACAGAAATGTATTTTTGATGAAGCTGTTTCCCAGGGCAAATGTCCACATTTCACATCTGTCCTAGTTTGTGGCTGTTTTCTTTGCTTCCTTTCTAGAGACATTTGTCTCGTATACCATCATTTTCTGGTCATTTCACGGTGATGGAGTGAAAGCAGTGTGTGGCTCTTGCCTGTTATTTGTTGCTTGTGATATTTGTATTCAAGGAATTGAAGCTTGTCCTCCTGTTGAACTTGCTGTACTTTGTACCAGATAAAAGCATCACCTAAGAGCTGCTGATGGTAGCCTCGGGCCTCATTTATGAACCACGTGTGTACACACAGTTTTGTGCTTAAACCTTGCATACGCTCATTTCAACACAAAGAATCTTATTTATATATTTTTTTCTTGTGCTTAAAATGTGTGTACATAGATCTACATAGATCTACTCCTGACCATGCGTAGTGACAAACCCTAAGTAATACACAGGTAAACTAATTCCTAAATTACAGATACATTAAACAGATTTAATGTACGCATAACTAATAGATTGTCAGCTAGTGGTCCTGAAGTCGTGCATTCACTTTTTATTTGGAAAACAAGGTAAATGTTTCTTTCATTGTGAAATAAGCCATTTATGTCGCTCTTTCATGTTGTTTCTCTGGTACTGTGTGGCTGAGATCTTTTGGCCCCATATAGATTCAGATTCTATTAATGATATTCAATTGTAATCAATCTGCCTTAATAACAAACTATTATGTTTTAGTACCATTTCTTTAATTGTATATTTGTTATGCTAAAGCAATCTAAAAAATAATCTAAATCTTTGAATTACACTGAAGTGATATTGATACCTGATGTCGATTTTGTGTAATGAAATTCATTAATTGACCATCACATAAAGTAAGACTTTTTGTCTTATTTTTTTTTTTACCTGCCCCCATTCTGTATCTTCATTTATTTATATTTGGACCTGTACATGCTGGTAAGCTTCACTGCACATCCATGTCTGGAATGCTACAGTATCTTAACTTCGCTGCCTGTAGCTTTTGTCCACATAAACTAACTGTACGTTAAGGCTACTAGGACTTTCAGAGAGATCTGATTGACCATATCTTGTGAACTGCAGTTATTTCTGTATGTAAATGAGCCTGTATGTGCACAAGATGTATGTAAAGTAGGTTTCATAAATATAAATGTTCATACTGCAGTTCCTACGCACACATTTAGCCTAGAACTTGTTCTGCGCATGCTTTAGTAAATGACAGCCATGGGCTCTGCAGGACAGAGTTGGTGTATGAGTTTACAGTACCAAATGTCTTTAGATGTGATTACGGTGGTTTGTGTGGGACAGATATAGACGCTGCCTCACACACCAGCCAGCTACAGACATTAACCTGGGAGGATGAGTGTGGAACTGAGCCAATATTTCCATCAGAGGATTAAGTGGGATACTCACAATGGACAGTTTGGACATCCATCATGCAAACATTCAGACTTTTAGGTCTGAGATGTCTGGGTGGGAAAGAGAAAAGAAATGCTCGGAATAAAAACGGGTGGTGCATGTAGAGAAAACAACTATAAAGCAGTTTAGCCAGCCAGAAAATCGAGTCAGTGTTATAAAAGGAATTGTTCATTTTGTTCACTTTCTCGTTGAGATTTAGAGGAAAGGTCCATTACCACTCATGCTAAATATGAGTGGCCAGTAGCTGCTTAGCTTAGCTTAACTAAGATAGCAAGCATAGCCTGTCTCTCTCCAAAGGTAAAAAAAAATCTGCCTCCCAGCACCTCTAAAGCTTAATAACTTACACATGATTTAAATTATATAATGTCATTGTCAGTCATCAATTCCTGTCTAAATGTGTCCATTTGAATATTTTTTTTATTTTAAAAACAACATTGTTTAACCTAGTTTATTAACCCCAGCTCACCAAACCACTAGTAGTCGGGTGCTCGCCGCAGGGCTACTTGTGACGCTCAACTTGCAGGTCACTGCGCCTAACCAATAAAGAGTCTTGCTCATTACCCCTAGTAAAATTCCAAGTTGTCGTTTTTACACTTCATTGTTTGTGCAGATTAACCAGACAACATGTTGATTAGTGAGCTTTAGAGGTGCTGGTAGGTGAATTTTGCCACCTTTGGACTGAGCCTGGCTATCTCTTTCCCCTACTTACTGTCGTTATGCTAAACTAAGCTAAATGGCTGCTGGCTGTTGGACAGTATTTCGCTAGTATCAATCTTCTAACACTCTGCAAGAAAGGGATTAAGCTATTCCTTGATATTTTGAAATATAATGAGACTAAGAGGAAGTGAGGAGAGGAGAAAAAAGAATGAGTGAGAAAGCAGAACGAGTGGTCACCTCATTTCCATGTTTCCTTCCCTCCAACTGTGACGATGCAGGTGTAAACCCAGTGTGTTTCTCCTCAAGCCTGCTCTACATGTCAGCAGGTCGCTGCCATGTTAATTAAAACAGCTTGTCGTATGTGAAGTTAGGATTCTCTTAAGCGCACATAGTAGCTCTGGCAGACAGGTTTGTGTGTTTTGTGTGGCGGTGTGTGCCTGTGACTGCAGCTGCCTTATTGTTTAATTACATTTTATTGTTTACATGAGTCCCCTCATGAGGCCTACTGACCTGCAAGAACGGAGGCAGGAATGGTGGGATCGTGATTACAGAGAAGGTGGAGGACATTGGAGTTCTGGGAATCATGTCTGCATGTACTTACTTTATGTCCCATTGATATATTGGGAATAATGGTAGGTCCTTTGAGGATAAAACAAATGCTTTGTATCCAGCAGCAGCAGCAGCAGCAGTGTGTTTAGAATAATCATGGCTCATTCGCAGCTTCTAGCAAGTTGTGTGATTGGGCTGGGCAGTATGCCTGAAACATAGCTTGATATTTTTAAGTTCTAATGAGAACAATAACAAACTAGTCTTTCGTTCAAATTATTTCAGTGAACATGAATATATAACATTTTAATCATGTTTTACAAAACTGGATTTACATCTAAATCAAAACGCTTTAGGTTTTCCACAACTGACGATGAGGCAGAAAATACGTTTTTCCACAGCACACATTTTGACATGTCACAGTAGAAAAAGCACAGGTGTACTTAGTATCCTTAATTATGGCTAAATTCTATTTTTCTCAGATGGATTCAGGGCATGCAGGCTCACTGGCATGGCTTACTTGAATGGAGTGATCATTAATGGTATTAGCTACACCAGTGCGTTTTCTGGCAAGACGTGGCTAAATGTCTGCTTTGAAAAAGGTCTATTGGGTTCTGACTAAATGGGTGTATGCAGATATCTGACACACACACTGTTGACTACGTTACAGACTCACAACAAACGTTTTTTTAAAAAGGATCAAAATTTATGCAGCGGAGTCAGATATATCATCCCCCCAATTATTTTCAAACATGTAGTCTTCAGTCCCAACCGACGCCGACTCAAGTGACATCACCTTAGGACATTTATCAGACTTTACAAAGCTCTGGAGATATAATTTTATTTATACATTTATGCAA